CATACCAAAGCTGTGGTCTTCGGTCTTCATCAGTAAGTATTTTAAGCCCTCTTTATGTTCAGCAAGCAAGGTTGTATCATCTGCATGTTGCAGGTTCTTAATGAGTCTTCCTTCAATCCTGATGCCATGTTTTTCTTCATGTAATCCAGTTCTCAGATTATGTGCTCAGCATACAGATTGAATAAGTATGGTGAAAGACTACAACCCAGGCACACACCTTTCAATGTTCCCTTGTTCTGTTTGAATAACTGCCTCTTGGTCTATGTACAGGTTCCTTAGGAGCACAATTAAATGTTCCGGAGTACTCATTCTCTACAGTGTTGTCCATAGCTTGTCATGAGCCACACAATCAAAAGACTGCATAGTCAGTAAAGCCCAGGCAACCATCTTTCTGGTATTCTCTGCTTTCAGCCAAGCTCCATCTGAAGTCAGCAATGATTGATATCCCTTGTCCCATATCCCCATCTGAAGCTGAACTAAATCTCTGGCTGCTCCCTGTCAATGTACTGTTGCAGCCATTTTTTAATTACCTTTAGCAAAATATTACTTGCATACAATCTTAATGGTGTTGTCTGATGATTTCTGCATTCCTTTGGGCCATCTTTCTTTGGAATGGGCACAGATACAGAGCTCTTCCTATCAGTTGGCCAGGTAGCTCTCTTCCAAATTTCTTGGCCTAGGAAAGTGAGTGCCTCCAGTGTTGCCTCGGTTTATTAAAGATTTCAATTTGTATTCCATCAATTCCCAGAGCCTTGTGCTTTGCCAATGCCTTCAGATTATAGTGTTGTTAAATCAGGAATTTTATATGCATGTGTGTGTGTGTGTAATGTCTTTATCAGAGACCTCAAAAACATGTTGGCAGTCTGTATGGAAATAGTCTTAAAGATTTAGAAATCCTAAACAAAGGGTTATGACAATGGATTTAAACTCTCTAACATTTTTATAAGTCAATTCAATATTAATATATCTAACATTACAGCTACCATCTGAGAATCTATAAAAATGGATGTAGAAGAGATAGTTTGCTTGCCAGGAGCATTCTGTAGATTTTTTTTCTAATTACTTTACTTTCAGTCACATGCATTTCAGATCAGCTGCAAGGGCAAATTTGCAGGAAAGAGTTGTGTGAAAATCATTAAAAGTCAGGTCTAACTGGTGCTTTTCCAGCAAAGAGGAAATATGGGAAAATAAAATAAGATTTAATCAGCAACTAGAACAACCCCTAAGATACAGAATATGCTCAATAAATACTTGCTGAATGAAACAACCACCAGTTTTTATTGAGTTAAAAACAAATGTGAATATTAACCTACACTGAATCTGTTCCTATTTATATACAAGTTTAATGATGAAATTTTGTTCCTAAAAATAACTCCCTTAAGACATGTTAGTTGTTGTTGTTAGGTGCCATTGAGTCATAGCGACCCTATGTACAACAGAATGAAACACTGCCTGGTCCCAGGCCAACCTCACAACTGTTGCCCATTGATGCTGCCACTTTGCCAATCCATCTCGCTGGGGGTCTTCCTCCAACACCCAATTCTTCTATGCTCTTCCTTATTCATCTTTGTTCTTCAACACTTTAAAAAGGTCTTGTGCAGCAGATTTGCCATTTGATTTCTTGGCTGCTGCTTCCATGAGTGTTGATGGTTGATCCAAGAAAAATGAAGTCTTAGACAACTTCAATTTTTTCTCCATTGATAAGAATGTTGTTTATTGGTTCAGTGGTGAGGATTTTTGTTTTCTTTACATTGAGATGCAATCCAGGCCAAAGGCTGTGCTCTTTGATCTTCACCAGTAAGTATTTTAAGTTTCTCTTCACTTTCAGCAAGCAAGGTTGCATCATCTGCATATCGCAGGTTGTTAATGAGTCTTCCTCCAATCCTGATGCCATGTTTTTCTTCAGATAACCCAGCTTCTCGGGTTATTTGCTCAGCATTCAGGTTGAGTAAGTATGGTGAAAGAATACAACATTGTCACACACCTTTCCTAGATTTAAACCATTCAGTGTTCTCATGTCCTGTTCGAACAGCTGTCTCTTAGTCTGTGTACAGCTTCCTCATGAGCACAATTAAGTGTTCTGGAATACTCATACTTTGCAAGGTTGTCCATGATCCACATAATCTAAGGCCTTGGCGTACTCAGTAAAGCACTGGTATTCTCTGCTTTCAGCCAAGATCCATCAGACATCAGCAGTGATAATCCCTCATTCCACGTCCTCTTCTGAATCTGGCTTGAATCGCTGAAAGTTCTCTGTCAATGTAATGTGGAAATCATCGGACAATATCTTTGATATCCTTAAGACATTTGTTGTTGTTAGGTATGTTGAGTCTGTACCAACTTATAGCAACCCTATGCACAGCAAAATGAAACACTGCCCAATCCTGGGCCAACCTCACAATTGTTGCCAAGCTTGAGCCCATTGATGCTGCCACTTTGCCAATCCATCTCTCTGGGGGTCTTCCTATTTCTCTCTGACCTTCCACCTTACCAAACATTATATCCTTCTCCACGGACTGGTCCCTCCTGACAATATTTCCGAAGTATGACAGAGGAGGTGTGGCCATCTTGCCCTCCAAGGAGCACTCTGGCTGCACTTCTTCCAACACAGATCTGTTTGTCCTTAAGACGTTGAGGCATGAACATAATTGAAAAGATCATGTTAACATCATAGTTGATGAGAAGTGAGATACAGGTCCATCTTTCCACCAGTTACGAAAATAGTTAAATTCACAAGATAGACAACACATTGTAAAGGATATCTATATTATCTCAAAAAGTAGGTTGAATTCTCATACTTGAAGAATACGATTTGCTCATGTAGTTGTTGTTATGTGCCGTGGAGTAGGTTCCAAGTCATAGCGACCCTGTACAGGGTTTCCGAGGCTGTAAATCTTTTCGGGAGCAGAAAGCCTCATCTTTCTCCCATGGAACAGCTGGTAGTTTCAAACTGCTGACCATGAGATTAGCAGCCCGATTCGTAACCACTGCGCTAATGCCTCATTATTAGGATTTATAATTGGTTCTAACATATATGATAACTCAAAAATGGTCATTAATGCAGCCTAGATTTTCTTCACAGTCATTAGAATTAGTGACTTTTACTCATAAAGTCAAATATATCTTTAAAACAAAAAATTGAAGTCCTATGAATCTTGGAAATTAAGAAGCTTGTGCTCCACTTAATATATTGCAGTTATTTTTTAAACTCATACAGTTTAGCAATAGAAATGGTTGAGTGTTTTCTTTTAAGCCCCACTCTGGGGAAAACCAATTTGTAGATAAATAGCCCATCCCCAGCAGTATTGCATAATTGATGTCTAATGTGGGAGTAGGTTAGAAGCAGCACAAACTAATGAGGTTGACCCACACATTCTAATGGCACAGCCTGAGCAAAAGCAGACCATAGCAGAAGGGCAGTGACAGTCAGTTCATTTCTAAGTTTTCCCTGGGTTTTGTATTCCAAAAATGGGTGTCGTCAAGTATGTGCCGTGCCCTTCCCCATTTTTTCCCTATTCCTTCCAATTCAAGCTTCCTTTCTTCCCCAGTTAACTGACTCATGGACCTTTGGAAAGATGCCTTTTAATACAAGTTCAGCATAAGATATTGTACCAAGCCATTTCCTGTTGGATAGAAAGCTTCGGCTCATTTCCGGCTTTCTAAACCTCCACTAGGAAGTAAAGCCTTGAAGCAAAAGCTTACCCAGCCTTGCTTCCTTTAGGGAGTCCGCCGGACACCCAAGTACCGAGAAAGACTCAA